CTATACTGGTGCTTACATGTAAATATACCAGTTAACTATACTGGTGCTTACATGTAAATATACCAGTTAACTATACTGGTGCGCACATGTAAATATACCAGTTACCTATACTGGTGCTTACATGTAAATATACCAGTTAACTTAACTGGTGCTCACATGTAAATGTACCAGTTAACTATACTGGTTCTTACAAGTAAATGTACCAGTTAACTATACTGGTGCTCGCATGTAAATATACCAGTATAGTTAACTGGTATATTTACAAGTAAGCACCCGTATATTTAACTGGTATATTTACATGTAAGAACCAGTATAGTTAACTCAGTTAACTATACTGGTTCTTACATGTGAGGGTGAAGAGGTGACTCTTCTTAACATTGTGTGTGTGTGTCTGTGTGTGTGTGTGAGTGTGTGTGTTATGGTGTGTGTGTGTGTGAGTGTGTGTGTTATGGTGTGTGTGTGTGTGTGTGTGCTGTAGTTTAGTGAACATGTGTTCTAGTGTGGTTGTAAATCTGATGCTAATGAAACGTGCACATGCTGCTACTGAAATATGTGAAATGTAGATTGGAGAAAAAATATATATTTGCTGAACTCATTGTTTGAAATATATTTACAGTTGAATAAAAACATAAGTGGTTGTTTTTTCTCATTTAAGAAAAATTAATGTTGTAAACATTCATGAAACATTTGATTCATCACTTCATGGAACATGTAAACTTGATGAAATTCATCACTTTTTTAATAAACATTTGATGTTTTAACATATTTCAGGTGTGTGGGGCTGCTAATTTTTTGGGACAGGCATTTTGGGTTTTCATGAGCTGTATGCCATAATCATCAGTATTAAAACAATTAAAGACCTGAAATATTTCAGTTGGTGTGCAATGAATCTGAAATATATGAAAGTTTCATTTTTATCATTACATCATGGAAAATAATGACCTTTATCACAATATGCTAATTTTTTGAGAAGGACCTGTATGTTGATGATCAACCCCCTGGTCAACCACTGCCCGCACTAAGCTGCTAAACTGGCGAGCGAGTAACACAGGTACCTCCACCTCCTCCACCTGTGCGTGTTTTCTGCCAAGGCAAGAGGCAGGTGGAGACGGTGGAGAGTTGGAGGTAACCAGGAAAACCCAGAGTGGAGTTTTAGTGGCTTGAGTATTCTCCTATTAATCAAGTGGAATGGATTCGTTCATGAAGAAAGAGAAACTGCGCCGCCTGAACTAATGTTTCATAGTAAAAGTGGGGGGGTCCAAATGAACGTTTTTTTAATGTGGGGGGGGACTTGTCCCCTTCACATATAATGGTTGTGATGCCTATGTAGTGACATCATGCTCACACAGGTGTTTAGATCCAGGTGTTTATCAGATACACAATCAGTTGGGTTGTGGTGGCCATCAAATATATATTGTATT